ATTTTTCTGTATGAAACTGTGTATTTTAATAATGAAATGGAGATCTTTTTTAAAGGTTAAAACGTCATTTAATTTATGTCTTATAGGGTTTATACTGAGTACAATATTGTATAACTGTAATAATTCAACTGTAAACCTAAAAATTTACAGGCAGTTTTGAAAGAGATGCATCCTACCTCAGGAAACCGTTATTGAATATGTCAATTGTGTTGTAATGATATGCTTCTTCTAAGTACGTTGTTATTAAATAAATCATTAAAAAAAATAAATAAATAAAAAAGAAAAAAGAAAAAAAAATGTGGAAAAAAACCTCTTTTTCTAAGAACTTGCAAATCTTGCCTGCTCACCACTCCTTTTCAGCTCTTTATGCTCTTCCTCATCACTAAGTTCGCCTGACCCATCCTGCTCTAGTCTAGCTTGGTGAGATGTTCCTAGAGTATGCATGTGGTGGTTTGAATGAAAATGTCCCCCATAGGCTCCAAGTATTTGGACATTTTGTCCCCAGATGATGGCGCTGTTTGGGGAGGTTTTAGAAGGTGTGGCTATCCTGGAGGAAGCATGTCACTGGGGGTGGGCTTAGCAAGTTCTTAGGCTTTGACAGATCTCCAGTTGCTCTCTTCCTTCGCTTGCCTGTGTGATGATATGAGAGCTTCACTTCTGCTGCTCCTGCTCCAGCCACCTCCAGCCACCATGCCTCCCTGCCATGATGGACTATAATTCCCCTGGAACCGTAAGCTCAAATAAACTCTTCCTTCTATAAATTGCTTGGGTCAGTGTTTCTATCACAGCAACAGGAAAGTGACTAATACAGTGCATGTGCCCCCATGCTTCCATAACAGCCTTTATCACAATTCACTTTACCCTTTGAGGGGCAAGTGGTATTTTCCCTGTAGCCCCGGCTGTCCTGGAAGTCACTATGTAGACCAGGCTGGCCTTGAACTATGTAGGCCAGGCTGGCCTTGAACTGGAAAAACAGAGATCCGCCTGCAACTGCCTCCCAAGTACTGGGATTAAAGGCATGTGCCACCACGCCTGGCTGTATTTTCTTTTTTTAAAAAAATTTTTATTTACTTACTTTTTGATGTGTATGAGTGTGTTGCCTGCATGTATGTAAGTGCATCCATGTCGTGCAATGCCCACAGAGGTCAGAAAAAGGAATAAGATCCCCTGGAACTGGAGTTACAGTCAGTTGTTAGCTAGCACGTGGGTGCTGGGAATTGAAGCCAGGTCCTCTGAAAGAGCAATCAATGTTCTTAACTGCTGAACCATCTCTGCAGCCCACAAATGGTATTTTCTACTGATCTCACCATTACAGCCTGGAAACAAAGGATTAATTAATAAATCAATACACAGTGAAAGCTCATCTGTTCCTGCAGCTCTCAATAAGCATGGCACACATTATGAACACCCTCATACATGACATACCTTTAAAACAGGGATATTTAAGGGATCTTTAAATCAAGACATAATAAGTACAGGTTTGTTCTATATTTTTGCCACCATTATATAATTTAGAAACATCTACACTGTGAGCTGGAAAAACATCTTAGCGGCTAAAAGCACTGGCCATTCTTGCAGAGGACCTGCATTCAATTTCCAGTACCCATATGGCAGACAGTTAACAACTGTCCTTACCTCCAGTTCCAAGGGATCTGAGGCCCTCTTCTGACTTCTGTGGGCTTTGCACAACACCAGTGCACTCACACCTGCAGGGAATACACTCATACACATAAAATAAAAAATAATGAATAAAATTTTTTTTAAAAATCTACAAAATCAATCATGTAAATGGTTCAAAAATATTCTCTTAAGAAAAAGAAACAGGGAGCTGAGGAGATAGTTCAGTCACTAAAGTGCTTGCTTGAGTTCAACCCCCAGAACTTGTCTGAAAAAGTCAGGTGTGATGGCATGCACTTGTAATCCCAGAACTGGGAAGGCAGAGACAGGAGGATCCCTGAGGCTCACTGGACAGCCAGCCCAGCCTAATCAGTGAGCTCCACACCATATGAGAGACATTCTCTCAAAAAGCCAAGGTAGATGGCACCTAAGAAATCTGGCCTCCACACTTATGTGCACACATGTGTACCCCCCCACACACACACAAATAAGCAAACAGCATGTTGTTTAAGATTTATTTTTGTGTATGGTGTATATATGTACACATGTATATGTACATATGAGCACAGGTGCATATGTGCATGTGGAGGCCAAAAGTCAATATCAAGTGTCTTCCTGGATCCAACTTATCTTTTGAAACAGTGTCTCTCACTAAACCTGGCACTCAGTGATTGGCTAGAATGGGTGGTTAGCAAACTCTGGAGATCAATTGTCTGCTTGCCTCCCCCAACCCCCACCCCACTAGAGTGTGCAAGTGACCACGGCCAATTTTGCTTCATGAGTTTTCTTTGCTGTTATTGTTTGTTTGGTTTTGTTTTTTAAATATAGGGTCTCACCTGTATAGCTCTGGATGACCTGGAACTATGTAGACCAGACTGGCCTCAACTTGATAGAGATCCACCTGCCTCTGCCTCCCAAGGGCTGGGATTAAAGGTGTGCACCACCACACACCTTATGTTGCTCATTTTATTTTGTTCCTATTTGCTTCTTAAGTAACATTTATACTGTGGAAATTTAAAACTTTAGAAGAATACCAGTAAGATTTACAACCTTGCTTGGAAACTGGTGCTAAAAAATAGTTCATAACAAGAATTAGATTAGTCAGGAAAGCCTTATCAGTATTTCTAAAACTTGGCAGATGTCAATTTTTGGCTGCACAAATGAGCTGCACTTGTAGACAACACACATGAATCCAAGAAATTCCAGGGATGAACAATCTCAGAAATATCTAGATTCAGAGCCATCCCTACAGATTCATCTTATTCCTCAAAATTCTAGGATAGCTCCAGCCCCTGACTCTGCTAATCAGGGAATGCATGCTACCTCAGAGCCTACTCAATCTCAACATCAAAAACCATCACTGTTCTGCTTCCTGTTGCTGTAACAAACACCATGAACAATGAACAAAAGCAACATGGGGAGGAACGGGTTTATTTCAGGTATACTTCCTGAGGGAAGTGAACTACAGGCCCATCACTGAGGGAAGTCAGAGTAGGAACTCAAGCAGGAACCTGGAACAGAAAAAAACAGGAAGGCTGCTAACTGGCTTGCCCCCTGGCTAATGCTCAGCTAGCTTTTTTATATAGTACAGGCCCACTGGCCTAGAGAAGATGCTGCCCACAGTATGCTGGGCCTCTCCCACATCAATCATTCATCCATACAAATCTTCCTGGACACTGCCAGAGGCCAATCTGATCTAGGAAATTCTTTAATTAAGGTTCCCTCTTCCCAGGTAACTTCAGGTTGTATGAAGTTTATAATAAAAACTAACCAGCACAATTACAAAGGAACTGAACAGTCTCAGACAAATGTGACAAATGAAGCCTCTAAAACTTAATTAGCCCCGGGTCCAGCATGGTGGTGCATGCCTTTAATCTCTAACTCGGGAGGAGGCGGAGGCAAGCTCTGTGAGTTACAGACCAGCCTGGGCTACAGAGATTCTGTCTCAAAAAGACCAAACAAACAAACAAACAAACAAACAAAAACTATTAGCCCCATAGATCTGGTGGCTAGTAAATTATTCCTTTCACGATTTAAGAAGTTCATCTTGGTCAGGGCTAGACTTCTCTGCCCTGCAATAGGGGCTGAGACCTTAACAGACCAACTGAGAATGCCTAGATCCCACCTCTGCCTGGTAGCGAGGTTCACCATATCAGACAGAGCCCAACCACTTTGCCAGGGCAGGACCTCTCTGCCCTACAGTAGGGGCTGAGACCTTAGCAAATTGCCTGAGAGTGCCTAAATCAGGCCTCCCCTTAGTCAACTTCCCAAATTGTGTGGTGACTGGCCACTAGTAGAGGTCCATACAGAATATTCCAAGCCAGCTGAGGCTACAGGAAGAACCTAGCTCACAAAAAAAGAAAAGAAAAAGACACAAAATAACCAAAATTCAGTAATAGTAAGGGACTTCAGTACCCCACTGCCTCTATTAGACAGGTTAACCAGATGACATGGAACAGAAAGACATGTGAATTAAATGATACCATTCATCAAATGGACCTAACAGACATCTATTAAAAGTACCAAACTGGTGGAACTAACCTTATTGGATGTTTAAGAGCCATACTTTGAGGCCTATACTAATCTGGTCAGAGGGACTTAAAGGACAGTTTTTGCCCCTTGCCCTCCAATGTCGTCTAAGTTCCAGGGGACTATGGAACATCTCTCAAAACTGTGGTGAGTCACATGTCCTCTTGTTTAGGGAGGACATGGAGACTCCATGAGATGGACTTGAACCAGTGTCCAGTCTACAAAGAGGAGGGTCAACTCAGAGGAAACATCTCATTCATGCTTCCAAGTGAAGCCAGACATAGTGGAGCAGGACCTTTGACTTATCTTCACAAAAATGGAACTGGTAAAAGAAAGGAGCCAGGAGCTCCTCCCAAGCCCCATGTGACCCCTGAGGAACAGATCCTCAAATGACCATAAGTGTAAAAATTAATTGATTTATTTGGGCCAACTGTATGGTCTTAAATATCCAAAAGGAAAGTATAACAAAAGAGTAAAGTCATCAGTATATTTCTTTAAGAGTTCAAGGGATTACACTTCCCAGACATTATGCTTAAGTCTATATAAAAAGTTATTTAGACAATTACTTCTCATTGATGATTTTGTTCCTAAGTAGAAAGTGCTGCTCAGATGTAAGACTTGAAATCTTGGTATTGTAGTGCCCACCTGTAGCTAAGGGAGGCAACCAGCTATTGTTCTAAAATGATGGATAAATTTGTTTTCTCCCCCCTATCTAGAAGCCTTTGAGAGGGAACTGACACTGATTCTAACTACTCCAACAGCTATCAAAATACCTGAAAGCAAACCCTGAATCCATCACTCTAGAGTCCAGCCCTGTTTTGGCTTTTTTCTAGTTCTCTGGCAAGAACTTGTAATGCTAATTAGTCTTGCCTTTACTTCTCCTTCACGTCTCCTATTCATGATCCAAGGACTTTCTTTTCCCCTTAGAGATAAGAGTTATGCAATTTGGGAGTCTTTTAGATAGACCCACTGAAGGGGTACTCCAGTTGCCTCATTCCTGTTCAGCATGGAAGAAGCCAGAGCGGCCAGAGCAGTCTGCATCCCTATTCCCTATTGGCAATTTGGGT